TAAATACCTCCCCTTCCAGCTATGGAAATGGTTGGTCAGTGTCCCCACGTGGTCTGGGCCACTTTTTGTACCCCCTTGGCTCCACTCAGGTAAGTATGTCCCCTTTTCCTCTCCCTTGAAACCCAAATGCAGGATCCTTAAAGGAGTCCCATCCCCTTTTTCTTGCTGGCTGGACAAATACCCACCACTTTCATTTGCCTTGAGCACATTGTTATGTGTGTCCCAGAGATGATGGGATATTTGTAGGTCACTGAGGCTCAGTGGGAGTTAAACGCCTAAATACCTTTGAGGATCGGGGCCCGAATTTTCTTAATCTTCCATTTGATCAGTGACTTCTTCAGGTAACAGCTGGAAGATAGTGACAAATACATTTAATGAATATATCCTTGCTCAAATTCCATGGCTGACTATGATCAGGTTTCTAATCAGTGACGATAAGTGACTACCTGAGTTTTAGGAGCAAAATGTTTTTTTTCAAATAAGGCTGGAGCTACTGTTTCTTGTATTTATTCCCCCCTAGATGCAAACTGCTATAATTAGTGCAGATCACCATTCACTTAGGGGCAAGTCCATCCCTATGCCACTGTTGCAGAAGGCTCCTTGGAAGTAGTTCTTTGGCACAAGGAGGGCTGATGTAGATCTTGTACTTAGAAAAGAGCCCTCTTCTAGGTGAGCTCTTTGTCTAGCAATGTGGAGGGGGCAGGGCATGGGCAAGTGGAAAAGGAGTTAGAGAATATGCCACTGTGTAAATTACAGTGAGTTGAATTTAATGTTTTTCTTTTTCTTTTCTTTATCGCTACCTTTCAGAAGGGATTGAACTGACACACTTTTCAAAATTCTCCACAGAACATTTTAATTTACTTTTTTCCTTTCTGAAAATGAAACAGTCAGTTTCAAAATCAAAAACTTTTGAAAATGAAAGTTTATTTTGGGAGGGAAGAAACCCCACTGTGTGACAAAGCTGACCAATCAAAACTGGCCATGCACGAAAAGAAAAAAAAAGAAAAGAAAAAGGGAGGGAAAAGGGGAAATGAAAATGAGAACCATAAATGGAAATAAAAAAAATGAAAAGAGCCCATGTGTGCACAGTGCCTTCTCAGTTACTCAGGCGATGTGCAGGGTTTTGGTTATAGATCACCAGTCACTTACCACTGATCCCTGCATGTGATTAGTAAAAAGAAAAACAGTGTGTGTCTTCCGGCTAGTAAAGATTCTGGCTGTTGTTTCATTTCCTGATGATGATGCATCAAAGTGGGCAATCTGGTATATGTGTTTATTTATTAATGTTACTGATGGGTGTATGCTAGCAGTTCTCTGTTGGCATCAGTTATTCATATTTATTATGAATTAGGGATGATGTAAATTTCTGAATTGAATTCAGTTTGCACACAACTCCACTCACATTCATCAAATCCCCTTCCAAAATATGCCAGATTATGCCAGGCCTGTAGGTGGGTGCACTAAAAACATTTGCATGGCCCGCATAAGGGACAAAGATAATTGCAGATCCTGCACTCAGGAGAATGCTCTTGGCATCCTCCCCCAGAGATGAGTTGTTATCAGTATTTGCTATAAATTCTCTTTTTAACTCATTGGTTTGCACTTGCTATGGATTCTCTAGGAGTTCAACAATCACATTCGCTCTTGTAAGCGGGGGAATAGTCCCGCTACTATGGGGAACTTTCCTGGCTTCTGCACTACCCCGCTGAAGTGGGCTAGCGAAAGGATCCGAGTCCTCTCTCCCACTTCCTTTAGCCAGTGGCCTCCCTGCCCTTGAGGACTCCCCTTCCACTCTCCTGTCTGGCAGAGTCCTCGTAACCCCAACAAGGCTGGGCCCAGGATTCCCAGGGGGGGCTCGACCCCCAACCCTGCTGTGGTCACCTAGGACAGGGGCTAGGGTGTCCACTCCGGGGTACTCTCTCTGCACTGGGCACTTCTCTGACCCACTGATCATTACATACAATTTAAAGCAAATGCAAGTTATTTAATCAACAATTAATTTTAAAAAGAATAAGGAAAAATGGGAAAGGTTAAAGGAAACACATCAACTCGCTCTGTGGCAGGGAACTTCACAGACAGTGTCTCTGGCATGTCAGGGCAGTTCACAGTCTGTTCCTTGTAAGTCCCAGGCCTCCTTCTCAGGCCCTGCCTGCGGGGATGCTGTGGGTTGCATACTTGCTCTGGTGGTGGCCACACGCTCTCAGGCTCTAAGTGGTAGGACCCTTCTTCCCAGTGTCGCCCCCGTCCTGTCGGGCTTATGATCCAAGCCTGGCCTGCAGAGCCTCTTGGCTGAGGCGTCTCCCTGTGCTGGGCCCGCTGCCCAGGGTCCCCCTGGCTCTTCCCAGCTGCTCACCGCACCCAGCTCCGGACTGCTCCAGCCCCAGCTCCACCACTCTGTCTCAGTGCTGCTGCTGCTGCTCTGCCTCCAGCTCCCTGGGCTGCTTCTTTGGCCCCTCTGCCTCTGGTTGCTGCAGCTCTGCTCCCAGGACAGGTCTGCTCTGCAGGCTGCTTCTCACTCTCTCCCCACTACCTCTTCCTGGCTGCTTTTTGCCCCTCTGCTCTGGTTGCTGCAGCTCTCCTCCCAGGACAGGTCTGCTTTGCAGGCCTCTACTGTGACTCTGCTCCCAGCACTGACCAGCTTCTTGGGCTGCTTTTCTGGCCCCTCTGCCTCTGGTTGCTGCAGCTCTCCTCCCAGGACAGGTCTGCTCTGCAGGCCTCTACTGTGACTCTGCTCCCAGCACTGACCAGCTTCTTGGGCTGCTTTTCTGGCCCCTCTGGCTCTGGTTGCTGCAACTCTGCTCCCAGGGCAAGTCTGCTCTCTCTGGGCTGTGCCTCTGGCTTTGGGGCTGCAGCTCTGCTCCCAGGACAGGGTCTGCTCTCTCTGGGCTGCTTTTCTGGTCCCTCCAGATCTGGCACAGCTCTGCTCCCCCGCTCAGCTTGGGCCCCTGCTTTCTCCTTAGCTCAGCCCCACTCTGTCTGACCCAGGCAATTCCAGCTCACACGGAGGACGGGACCTCCCTGGCCTTCTGACTCCCTGATTAGCCTGCCTGCCCTGTCATTCAGGCTGACCTGGAGCATTGGCCTCTCCCCATTGCTCCTAGGGACTGGCAGTCTCAGGGTCCTGATTCCCCATCTACCCTTCCCCCTTTTAGTACTGGGAGCTTGCAACTAAAACACCCCCACTGAATGTTAGTAAGGGGCAACAGTCCCCTTACACTCTGATTCCTCTGGGAAGTACTGCCTTAAAAGGCACCCTGGTGCATAGTGGAAGCACACACATGCTTCACAGCATGCAGCATGCTCTCCAGTGTAGCCAGGAAGGCATGAAACCATGGCTCTGCCTAATCTCTGCTTCTCTCTATTCCCTTTGGGATGCCATGCACTTCCAGTAGAGTAGTGAGAGAGTATTCACTGTGCTCCTGAAAGCACAAGGAGTGCTTTCCAATCAACCCTTATGTAGGCTGTAAGAGAGGCCTTTCTCTCTTCCCTTCACCCCAGCGCATATTGGTATAAAGGCTAGCTAGTATCTAGTCTTAAAGTAGCACAAGCTCTGTTTCCTATATTTATTTGTACTAAATATCCACATTTTACGCTTAAAGGACCTGTTGGCACTCAGCAAGCCCTTTGGTATCAGCAGAATAGCACAGGAAATCTAGTAAGTATTAGCTTTTCAGTGTCTACTCACCAAGGCCTCCTGCAATCACCTTAAGGTATCTCCAAGGTGCAGAGCAATGTGGAGGGGGCAGGATTGTTGTGTGGAAATGCATTCAGCAGTATGACATTTTTACAGTGTAAAATGTTTCTGAGAAAAACATATGCCGTGCAGTACATGTGTTCCTATACATTAAAACACTTTTTATAAGCCTTTTTGGTCTATCCTGTTACTTTACTTTTCTTAGTTTTAAAGTTGGCTCATTTTTATTAAATCAATCAAAGAGGTGAAGAAAACTACATGTGGCAGCTTTTTTCTGTGCTGTCATTTTGTTTCTATTGTTTGAATGCCTTAGAAGGTGGCTATTGTAGTTTTATTGGGAGAGGAATAGGATCCTTATAAAATCCAGGTGTTGACCACATGTTTATCAATCTTTCCATAAACAAAAAAGAGTTTTTATTCCCATATCTGATTTCCTCATGTAAATCCAGCTAAACCTTGTTAATACATGTCTGTGCAAATCTTCAAGCACTTGTTTTGAATCATGCACGTAAGCCAGGGTCAGATTGAGGGGAAATAGAAAAACAGCACTTCCTCTGTAGCAGAAAAAGTCCCGTTTGTTTTTCTTCTGCCATGTCAATGCTTGTGCTGGTTCTACATCTGTGTACTGCTGCAGCATTCATAACATTTTACACTGATAAGGATGAAGGGTGATTTAAGGTTTCCATACTAAATCAGAAATGCCCAGGATGCAAAGTTCAGATCCAAATCGATACTTCATCAGATTTGGTGGTGGATATCAGTGTTGGAAGGTTGTGTTCACATTAATGGTTTTGGTTTGTCCCAAAGATCAGTGGCATTCAGGTTCACCCTTTTTAATTGAGCTCATTTCTGTTCAACACTGATTTTTGAACTTGCATTGGGCTCAAACTATGCATTTAAAGGCCTTGATTTTTTTTTTTAAACAAGACTCTAGTTTTGCAACTCTTAGTATCAATAAGCTGCTGGCCCAAGTAATCAATTGCAGGTGAAAATAACAGATTTTAGGTGTCCAACTGCCTGTTGGTGCCCATAGCTGAAATGCTTGCTCCTGGGAATTCCCATTCAAATGATGTGGTCCTTACTCAAATATTCTCATTGACTATATTGGGACATCTCACGTAAGGAAAGACTATGTATGTGAGTATGGGAATGACCGATCAGCCCATAATTTTAATGGAATAAGGATTTTCAGTATGTGGTATAGAACAGCAAATAATGTAGAGCTTGAGTATTATATCTACCTCGCCTGATTATTATATTAATATAATTATGTGAGTTGCTATTATCCTTTATTATTTTTAGAGCTCCCAATAGGATCCAACACACTCTGTAGTAAAAGGAAAGGTCCCTTCCCTGAGAAGATTGCAATCTAATTTTAGACACGATATGGTGGTAAGAAGAGGGGATGGAGTTGTAAAGGCCAAGAATTACAGCAATCAGGTCAGTAGTTACTCAGCTGAGGAATGTTCGTATCTTGATGGCTTTATTAAAAGTTGTTTTCTTCTTTGAATATAGTGCTGACTCACTTCTTGCGGACATAACAGAAGAACAGTCCTGGAAGCAAGTTAGATTACTTTTACATGTAAAGCCTACTCACTTGAGTAAGAGTTGCAGAATCGGGTCCATAATTTGGACAAAGTCCTCTGTTTAACAATCTGTACTGCGTTTCATGTGACTGTCAGAGAAATGTGTACTGCTTTACCTAATTAATGTAGCAAACCTTTCATACACTGTTAAAAATCAATTAGGCTCTTTATTTGTTAATTTGGAAGAATGCTAGTTTATTTTTTTGCTTATTGATTTCTAAACATGTTTTCCTTAGCTCTCAACATTTGTTCCTGTATTGAGTTAAGGAGGATTATAGATTCAAAGTAGTGCTAAGTGTATTTATACCTATGTTTTGTTTTTTTTAATTAAGTCACTTTACCCAGACAGCTCATTTTAGACATTCTTTTTTAAAGTTCACTGCCCATGTAATCAGTTGATCAATAACATCTCAGTTTTAAACTTTCATTACAGACTGGAATTTCCTTGGCTTAAAAGTGGTATAAACAATTTAAAACCTACCTTGATTATAATATTCTTGCAAAATATGCTGTCACTTGATAATCAAATAGGAAATGTTTAGCAAAGAACAGACATCAAAATATTCATTTCAAAGGATGTGTAGGTCTCCATAATATATCCAACAACAGCAATGACAGAGTAACTAGTTATTTTAATTACTGATTATTATGAGTTCACCTCATTTCCCTGCTTCTTTTGGATGGTTTCACCTCCCCATGCATAGTCATGGCTTCCATTGTCCAATTGCTCCAAACTTTTGTTGATTAAAGGCAGTTTTATAAAATTTAGTTACAATTTGCATAGCAATTTTCATGTCAATGCCACTAACAACGGGTCACCGCTGAATAGAGCCCATTTTAATTGGGAAGGAAATTATTCCCTTTACGTGTGAGTCAGAAAATCCAAGCTAATTATGAACACAGGGAGCCCTGGGACCCAGAGAGAACTAACATTTTGTTATCCATGGTGACATGCCCTCTCTTCTGAAAAAAGTGGTATTTTCTACAAATAGGCAACAGGCACATGGCCTGTTGGATCAGGTTACATCAGGCTATGTTGTGTTACATGATGTGACATGCCCTGCCATGACCTGAGGCAATGTCATCTTGTGTTACCTTGGTAGAGAAATATTGTTCTTTATTAAACAAGTGAGTAGAAGGCTAATCATCTGTGGGCATGAAGCATTTTTATGCTATTTGTTAGTAAAAGTGGTGGGTAGCAAGCATCCTTTTTTTTTTTATTCCTATTTGGAGAATTCTAAGGAAACTAAAATCAATATGAATCACCTATTACTATTACTTACAGTTGATTATATATTTTACAAGCCTAATTTACTATTTGCTGTGGTACACAAAGAAAAAGAATTGCTATAATATTACAAACAGACATAGTACATGGAGAGTGAATAGACAATGGCACCTATTTGGTTATGGAAATGAGGAATGTTGGAGAGGGGATATTTAGTAATCTTCTTAGATGGAAATACCTAGTGTTGGAAGCCTAACTATTTATACATTTTTATGCATAGATTGGTCATTATTACTCTTCTATGGTTCTTATAAGCTTCTTGCTTAAATAGTACATTATGAAAATGAGTCACCACAACTGTAAGGAGTGATAAAACTGTATCTACAGTCTGACCCTAAGGGTGATTCTATCAGGACAGTGACTCTTGATGAGTAACAGGCTTGAATTATTGCATTATGTGACATTATCAAGGGAACCCATTGTGTTTGGCCATTCAGTCTAATGATCTTTAATATTATTTCTTATTGATATATGCAGCATGTAAATTCACTTTTAAAAGATTTGCACAAAGAAAAGTGAACACTATTACATAGGTACAGCTATCTGCTGATTTTACAGTAAATTATTGGTGCATGGTACAGAATGTAACCTTTTGGTTATATTCTCCAGTAAAAGGAATAGGTTAGAGAAGGTTTTTATGCAAATTAGTAATGCTGTGTGTTGGAAGCCTAATTGTACTTTTCATTGTTAGACAAGTCAATACTGCTTTAATACACATTTTATAAGCTTCTTGCTAAAATTGTATATGTAAGGGATTAGTTCCCATAGATGAAAGGCATAATCTTAACAATGAGGCCATATAAGCAGAATGGTTGAAGTACTGATAAAGAATTTGTTAGCTCTAACATAGAATAAGTCTTATTAGTCTTATTAGTCACCACTGTTTGACCCACTACTGTTCACTCTATGAGCTATATGTATTGGCTGATGGAATGAACAGAGGCTACTCTAATTTTATTCTTCCCAGTTACAGTAAATAAGTACAGTTGTGAAAAATATTTTGCTGTAAAGCAAAAATAATCAATTGGCTTTTTCGTTAGTGTTCATGAATGGGAAATGAGGAATCCCATAAAAAGGGCCTTGTTTTTCCTATGAAAACTGCTGTGTACCTAGCAGAACAGCACATCACAAAGGATTCTGGAAGAAGGTCAAAGTTCAAGCTCAGTTTTCGATCTCACTTGATCTAAATCTTCCCGCATGTTCAACAGAGCTTATTGTCACAAATGATAAAATTCGGATGGTAAAGGATGATGGTCAGTCCATCAAAGGAAAATATCAAAAAAATTATTTCTAAAATGTGCTCCATATATGAAAAAAAAATTGTTTTCTGTTCCTTCCTATACAGTTCTTGCTTTTTAAATTAGAACTGATAAATAACTTCTTTTCACTAGTGGTAAAATATGAAGACAGAAATGTATCAATCTTTGACAAAAGCATTGTAAGAGAACAGAGGCCAGCCCCGTGAAATGAGAAAATGCAGAGGAGTGTACAAAGATGAGTTCAGAAGGATTCCTTGGTATTTTCTACCATCAAAGATTCAGAGTAAGTTACAGAATGATTGAATGATGGCAACATATGGTATATAGCAATATGTGTAATATGGTCCGTAGGTCTACAATGGAACGTATGTCTTCCTGCATCTCTGGGAAAAGAACCAGACCTGTAAACTGTGACATGGGACTAAGCGCAGCCCATCCAAATACCTACCAGTTTGCTTTGCCTCCAGAGCTGCACCAGATAGAGAGACCTCCTTCTGTAGAGCCATACAACCTCCTTATTCAAGACACTCCTAAATTATTTACACAAATATTTTTGAATTCTTATAACTACCTGACTTGTCTCAGAATTGTATCAGTTGGTCTGCATTTCAGAAGAATGATAATTACTCTCTGGAGCGCTACAAAGGTCCTTACCCCAATAGTCCCAGCACGTCTGAAATGGCAGGCATACAACAGATAAATGTGGTTGTGGCACTTAAAATCCAAGGTTCAGATGAAGCAACTTAGGAAATTGCTCAGTTATCAAGCTCTTTGGTGAACCAGTAGATAAGTTAGTATCAAATTGTCGAAAAAAAGAAGAAATTCCCTCATTCATCTAAACACATTAGATAAGACAATCAGCAAAGTAGGTACGCATCAGACAAGTCTAGAGAGGCAGGAATAGATTAATTTGCTTAAGTCCTACATCCCCCAGTTTAAACTAATCATTTAGAGTTTTGGTTGACACTAATTTCATCTACTCCCCTATTTAATTTGTTGATCCTCATTCGCTATTTGCCCATTCTAATTTCCTACATTGTTATGCTTCTGAATAGGGTTGTATTCTAACCTCACATATACGATCCCTATTCCCACTGAAAGGCTCCTGATTATTTCAGTGGAGTTTTCACAAACTTTATTTCCGGTGTTACTGGTGTCCCAACTCATGCAGCCTTATCAACTGTTCTGGCAATGATGTGTAGATTTTTGCGTGATTTTCAGATTATGTCTAAATCACCCAGTAGACTTTATATCAGCTTGGACGTTCAGATCTAGATCCAATGTGCTGCACACATGACAAAAACTGTTTTCATCTGACAAAAATGTTAAATCCCATTGGCAAAGAATATGTCTCCACATACTGAAAATGAGGCAAAAATCCAGCACTCGTCTTACTAATTTATTTTGAAATGCAAATCTTTTCATATTGCTCCATCAATAATCTTTATAAATGCATGAAAAATTACTCAGACATCTGTGCTGTCAGTTTTTAGCTTTTATATATATATATATATATATATATATATAAAAAGATGCTCAAGTACTGACACCATATAGACTAACACTGTGTCCAGGTATGCAGTCCTTACTCAGGCAAAATTGATATCAAAATTAGCAGGTTAAAGTATCTACTTAGAAAACATTCATTGGTGGAATAAATTGTGGTCACTTTTCATCAACCCACCTATATATCTATTTGTTACAAACCAGAATTTAATTGTATCATATGAAATTAATTGTAAAATCATTCAGAAGTCTAGAAAATATTTTTATTAGTCAATGCATGCCTATGGAGCAAGTTAATATGCAAAAACTACTAAGGTTCTGTGGTCCCTTTTCTGTAGTGTTGTACGCAAGGCACATACACAGTGACAAGAAAATTGGATTTCTAAAATTCTTGTGCTGTCATTAGCCTAAGAAACTAATCCAGTTGGCTCAACTCACATCGACTTCTGTATTTGTGTGGAGTTACATTAAAGTCAGATTACCCAATGTATTTCCAAAAGTTGTAGAATGAGCAATGTGAAAAATATGGCAATTCTGGAGAAAGTCAATAGATTTTGCACAGACACAGACTCTGTTCTGGTGGATCTGAATGCAGGCTGGGGGCTTAAGACTTGTTAGATTGTAAGATCTTTGGAACAGTGATTGGCTTTTGTTCTGTTTATATGGCACTTCGCACAATGGGGTCCTGATCCATGATAGGGCCTCCTTAGTAGCTACTACAATACAAATAATAAATAATCACTATTAATAATAATATAGGTTAAAATATTTGCTTACAACATGTGATTTTTATGTTAACAATATCACTTTAATGTAATAATAAGCACACCCAATGGCATATATTTGTTCTCTGGATTCTAGATTATTTTTTTTAAGCTTGATATACACATTGTTCTTTCTGAACAGCATTTAGGGAAAATTGATAAAGTCATTATTTATTGTCTTCCCTTCACTTTTCATACTGTAGACTTCAATGGTAGGACCTTATTGGAAATTAATTCGTCATGTGTTTTCTGACTAAATCCATTCACTTGCTTTGTTATTGGTGTTTGCAATTTATTTTACATTGATTTTGAACTATTTCCTGACAAAAAGCTTTATCTGGCCATTTAAACAACATCACTAGAGTCCTGACCTTATATTTAAAAAAGGCTGTCATTCATGAGATTATAATATTGTACCAACATTTTCAAAAGCCCTGAACATCAAAAGGTCTGGAAATAGTTACTTAAATTTGCAGCAACAACACTTACTTATGTTGGTTGTTAATTCTTAATGTTCTACATTTAAGCTTTCTGATGTATTGCTATGACTATGTTACATAATGGTTCTTGTTGTAAATAGGTATCTTAACAAAGCTTTTTGCCTATGTTTTTCTTTTTTTTTTCAAATCCCCAAATTTCTAAAAGATTGTCAATTTTTCTTTCTAGCCCTGTTTTTAACAGTACTTGATAGTCAACAGTTACTTATTCAAAATGACCTTAGATCTGACACAGGGTCTTGGATTGTCTTTCTGAATATATATATTGCTGGAACCAGGGTATCGTATCAGCTCAGTAAGAAGGGAGTATGCTGAGCCTATAAATTCCTCATGATGGTGTATATGCAGAGTTTAGAAAACTCGATAAAAGATAACATGAGGAGGTTATGGCTCTCTCCTTGAGAGCTTGCAAACTCTACACCTTCGTGGCTCTTTTCTTACTCAGAGGTCAGTGAACACATCTTGTTCGATATAACGGGCGGTGAAGATAATCAGAATAGTACTATTCTTAGAAATAGTGTGTGCTTCTAAGATCCAGAGTAGAATAGTTCCCTCCTGCAGTGTTTATAAGATCTGATGGAGGAAAGGTTCCTTGTGTGCTGTTTGTAAACTTCTCAGAGGAGAGTTTGTGGCATCTACAATCTACAGAAGAAAAACTCTCTCCTGGGAAATGAATACAACTCACAGAAGTAATGCTGTGGAATTCTAAAACACCACTTTGGCTAAAGAGACTAAAGTTGTAGGTGGCTGCAAATGTGTTAAACTCCATCACATACAATAGCTAGGATTTACAAATGTTGAGTTTGATTCCCCCAACTCCAATTAAATCAATGGAATTATACTGGGGGTAAAGCTGGAGTACCACAGCAGTAAATCAGATGTATATAAAGTAGGTAGCATAGATTATAAAAACCCCTTACTCACTTTAAACAGTATCTCACTCCTCAAGTAGTCTGACTGAAATAAATGGAACTACAATGAGAGTAATGCATTACTTAATGTGAGTAATGGTGGCAGAAGCTAACCCACAGCAATTAATTCCAAAGTTAGCTGACCAGATTTCTCCAGATGAGGTCAAAGGTACCAGTCCTTCTTGAGGACAATCACAGCAAACTAAATATGGAGTTTGTGGACCAAGCCATTTCTGACCTAAAAAGTTAAGAAACCTTTGCAAGAGGAAAAAAGTCTCATATATTAATATTTAATGAATTTCTTGTCTAATTACTTTCAAATTACCAGATAAATACCCTTCTGGCAGAATACTAGTTATGAGAATTTTTAGGTGAGTTTGTCCAATTTTGGTTGACTGGTCAAAATTTGGTTTATAGTGAAAAAATTTTATGCAGAGTTTGCCAAATCTACATAATGTAACACAACAGTTTTTGTTTGCATTTTCTCTGAGAGGTTTATGGGCTACATTATAGTTATTGAAAGTGTGGCTGACAAGAAAATAACTCAGGATTTCATTTGGTTCTTTAAAACAAAATCATTGTTAGCTCTGTATTGCCAATCATGTAATTTCATGAAGAAAGGAGTGTGGCTGCAGTACCATTTTAATTTTAGTATCAAAGTAGAGAGAGACCTTTAACCCCTTCACACACAAAAAGTATTCATATTAACAGCAAAAAGACAAATGTATTTGAAAGCATCTTTTAACCATCTTCTTTCAGTTTCTCTTTCCTTCCAAACACACTGCTTGCTTAGTCTGGCATAAGAAACCAGTGTGAGTTTAACAGACATATTTTTTAAATTGGTTAATCAAAGAATACTGGACAGCACGTCTTCATCTGACATCTGTTGATATGGAACAGGAGAATAGCCAGTGTGACAGTGAAGGTGTTTTCTACGTTTTTCCTAAGCTAAAAAAAAACAAAAAACAGGGCATAGAGCTGTACAACCCATAACAATGTGCAAGTCTTTATATGATGTTGTTCACCAGAGACTTGTCAATAGACTGAGCCATATTGGTTCTGGCAGTCTTTCTATTGGGACAATATTTGCCTTGAAGTACTATCTTTTCTCTTTTTCAGTGTCAGCCTGAAGGCTCTTACACAACATATGTTCATTTCATGTCTTAGAGATATTGCTTCTGGTATTGCAAATGCATTACCACATTGAGGTTTTTTGTAAAACAGATGGTACATATTAAGGTCTCCTTTTCTTAGATGATTTCTGTAACAATTGCACTGCACTCCTCACGCTGACAAAAACATCAGCTGCATCATGCAGTGCAGCACTAGATTATGTCAGAATGGTAAATGAATGCCCACAGCACAATGAGCTAGGAAGGTTGAGCCAGCTTCCTTAAAGAAATGAAAGGTGGTGTGAGTCATATTTGGTAGAAGTTCAGTTACAGGTTGAGGCTCCAGTCCTACAAAGTGATCTATTGGAAGACAACACTCACATGGAGTTTCAGTGATTTCAATGATCTCTACGTGGGTGAAAAGATATTCCTTACACAGGCCCGCCGACAACAATTCTGGGCCCCAGGGCAGAACAGTCAATGGACCAGAGCTGCTGCTGGCTACGCTGCTGGGCATTCTCTTCCGGCACAGCCAGGGCTTCCACATGCCTTCCCAGCTGCCTTTGCCACCACTGATACCACAGCCCTGCAGCCTGCCCAGGTGATTTAAAAGGGCCCGGGACTGGGGCCCCCAAGGTCCTTTTAAATTGCCCAGGCCGCTGGGCAATTGCCCCCTCTTCCCCTACCCCCCATCAGCAGGTCTGGCCTTACATAATGAACTAGTTGGACCGTGCTCCCTATTGTTAGAATATTCAAAACCTTGTGTTGGCATAAGCAGCCCACTCTGTGCCCCAAATGGAGCTGGCCATTTATCTGGACACTCAGGGAACCAGGAGAATGAAGATGAGGAGGGGGCTGAGGAGACCATGGACCTGATGGGTTAAAGGTGCTGGATGGAGTTGGTGGAGCTGGATCATACCCAGTAACCAAAATAAGGGCCATCAAAGGCAGTTTGACAAAAAATTTGCAGGTGACCAGTGAAGAGGGGACGAGTAAGGGTTAAATTAGTCACACTGTCATGAGTAGGGTGCAGAATGACCTCTTCAGTAACATCATGGTGCCATTGGGCCAAGCAAAAACAAAAAGTCAGTTTGACTGCGATTACAATGAGAAGGGCATGGAGAGTGGATCCATGGCTGCACTGCAGGGTTACTTCTCTGATTTGTGTTGTTCTTTCCCTTTTACAGCAGCTGTCTTCTTGGAGGGGCCCTTATCCCAAACAATGTGGTGAGAGAGATTGGCACTAGTAGGTAGCTCTCTTGCTCTCCCTCTCCTCATTCAGGAGTTGGATCAGATGCTGTAGAGTCACTAATAGGGACAGGGCCAAGGTATCAGTGGGTCAGAGGTGAACTAAGCTGGCTGTGGAGGTGCACATTCGAGCTGGGCAAAAAAATTTCACCAAAACTTTCTTTTGACAAAAAATAGATTTGGCCACACCAAAATGTTTCATAAATTGATATCGGTTTTGCCAAACTGTTCGTGTTGGGGATGGAAAAAAAATTGAAAACGTCAAAATATTTCATGTCAACCTTTTTCTAAATGAAATGTTCTGATTTTTTTGACTCAAAACTACTTTTCTTTTCAAAATGGCCTCCAACTTTATTTTTAAAAAGTTTAAAAAATGGTCACAATCAAAACAAAGCATTTAGTTGTGGGCTGAATGAAGTGATTCTTTCTGTGTTTTGAAACCTTTCGTTTGACTTGAAATTAATTTTTTTCAACTTTTTGGTTTGCTGAAAAATTTGAAATTTTTTTGATTTGACCCAATTTTTTTTTTCAGAACTGCCAGCAGACCAAAAAAATCAGTTATTTGTGCAGCTCTACTGCACACATTACGGGAACAGTTTGTCTTTGCATTCCTGTGGAGGGTTAACTGCAAATGCTGGGTGAAGGGTTATGTCTTTGCCAGTCCATGTGCAAGCCTACTAATACAGAACGGTGGTGTTGGCAGTCACCACATAAAACTTGTTTAGCTTCCTGATGAGTGCTAGGCTCAAAGAGCAGCGCCTTTGGCAACATGTGGACAGAGCAGTAGCTGGGTACTAGAATATAACTTGACAGCTGCCTTTTGAAAATCCCTGAAGCTAAGTGCTTATCTAGTGTTGGAATGTCTAGGCACTCTGGGCAGCAGCCAAATTTTCAAAATTTTGGCACTGCCCACACTCAACTTGGAAAATTCCTCAAGTTTTAAGGGCATCCACAAGTTAGTATTCACATTCCCTGATGTGCACCCTCTTTGCACCTATGAACTCTTTCCCCACCCTCCACATAACTTTTTAAAACTCTTCATGCAATATCAAGTTCTATAAGTTAGAAGAAGGTTCATTAGTTTCCGGCAATATCATTTTTAAAATTACTCTCACGGAGTGGATAAACAATGCTTTAATATTCCCCATGAACATCATGTGAGCCTGATACTTTATCTTCCTATGAATGACACTACTGTTCTGAACTGTACTGTATGACAATTAGCAATGAGAGTGAAATAGCTCAGAAAATCAAGCCACCATCTGGGTTCAAAATCAGTTTTGAATGAATTTAAATAAGATTATGGCATTAGCTGTGACTCATAAAAATTATAGATGGGAGCAGACTATCATTTCCACTAAGGTGTTGAACTGTCAAACTAATTTGGCTCTTCAGCAAATCACCAGATTCCTCAGTTCATGAGCACCCGCATTCACTGCAATTCTGCCTTCTTCCAATCCATGGATGTTTATCTGTGTTGTATTTGCATTGTTCAATCTGATAGGAGATATCAAATCTTAAATAAGTGTATTTTCCAGTTACAGTTTTTCCTGTCATATTATTAAGATTTTTGTCAAAATGCCCTATCAAGAGCAAAAGAGAAATAGCTAATATCTAAAAATATGGACCACAAAGGAATAAGAATGGGATGAAGCACGTTGTAGTCAAAAGAACATAGTGTTTGTAGACATATTTAAGAAAAAAATGCATTTTAAAGAGCCCAGGTGTGTGTGGTAAATTGGACTGTTAGTTACAATGATTTTATGTGAATGTTGAACTTGATCATTGCCTGTTTTGGCAGAATTTACAATTTACACGGTTCTATCTTGGCGTGAACAGCTGAGCCCAGTGGAGGATTTAGCCCCATAGGAGGACAGGTATTACTTTTATCTTCACCCTCCCTCTAGGTTTCTATCTGTCTATGTCAGTGGTGTCAAACTCCTGGCCTGTTTGATGTATTTGTGTGGTTTGCACGGTACATTCACCAGAACTAAGGCCAAGACATTCGAAAGTGACAAACTTTTTGGGGTTTCCAGCTTGAGACAACTCCAAAAGTACAGAGCACTCAAACTCTGAACATCACATCTCTTTAAGGGCTCCCCCTTTGGGCACCAAAAAATCACTAGTCATTTTTGAATATCTTGGCCTTAGTTTTAGGCTGAAAAAAATAAAGTATCTAAGCCTTCTTGGTTGACACCTTTTCCCCCAGACCATTGCAAATATGAACTGTCAGCCGATGCAGTGCTGACTCTGAATGGGCAGACAGCTTGAAATAATGACTCTGAGGGGCGTGAGATCTTGCACTTCCTTTTAATCAAACTGGGATTTAAATGTCAGCATTAAGCAAAGGGTAGAAATAGGCATGGTTCTAAAGGGGAGCATATTTACCCAAATCTGACAACAAGGTACAAATAATGATAAGTAAACTTCAGTTGCTAACTATAGGCTGAATTTCATTCTTGTCCTTTGTGTAAACCTTCTGTTAACATCAGTGGGAGATCAGATGACGATTGAGGGCAGAATGTAGTCCTAAATTCAAACCCTGGCTCATGGGAGAAAGTGATCTGGCCAGTATTTTTTAACATTTAATAGATGGTTTGCCATATTTTTTCAGTTTACTAGGATAATGAGCCATTTCTTTCCCTGAATTTATTGTGTTCCAAATTAACAATGGCACCTTGTTTTCTTAGACTTCATGCCCATTAGGGAAATGCATAATTCATTATAGAGATGTGTGGGGATTGAGGTACTTGTGTTTGTGATCAGCTTTTACAAACAGGAAAGAAATGACCACTTTATGTAAACAGCCGGTGAAACAATTGGTTTGATTTGGTTTTTCCCATTATCTTTTAGCCTCATTGATTCCTTCTATTTTTTTTTAACAATGCCACAAATTCTTGTGAAGTGCAACACAACAAGCCTGTTATTTTTGTAACAGGGATAGCATACATAACTTTGATCTGAATAATAATTATTAATTTATATAACAGCTTTCTGATTCTAAAAAAGTTACATATAGATAAGCAAGAGAAAAAATATCTCTGTTTGATAAGGTCTTGCAAACAGCACATTTTAAGGGTCTGTGCTCCAGGTCTGAATTAGCTAGCAAACAGTTCTGGCAAATGTCCAGTTTAAACATTTTTAAAAACATTTTTAGGCTGATAAATGCTTTGTCTTTCAGCAATTCAGCATATGCACTGTGTTGATATCTGCTGATAGTGCTGTACCATGTTTATTTTTGTTTCACTCCATTTCAGCCAAACATGGGCATTGAGGTGAATTCTTGTGAAAAGAAAACAAAGAATATTTTGGCAAACCAAAAGAAATTCTTCACATGTCACTTGGCCCTACGACCAAGAGGTGTGAAGTAAGAGGCTGAAATGCTAGAGACATCAAATGCTTTAAAAGCTAGCACTTGAATGTTTAAAAAATAGACTGTCAGCTGAAATTTTCAATGTGCAAGAGACAGAGGAAGGGCTCAAAGGTGTTTAAAAAGGGCTGCTGGCTGGACTTGAATCAGGAGCAGTAATACTGACAAATTCATTGGTGCTGATGGTGGGAGGCGGTAGTATTGTAAGTGATTGAGGCACTGAAGATGATGGCACAAGAGCTGCAGCCATTGTCATTAGTGGTTGTGGGAGGGGTAGGGGTGTCAGCATTGTTAGCAGCATTATTTCTGGTGAAGGAGTCTATGCTTCTGTCAGAGTGCAACCTTCACGTTCCTGTTAAACAGCATTTTGTAGGGTGTTTAGAGGGATTGGGGGGAATTTCAGGTCTCGTTTTTGCCATGTCTGCAGACACCACAGGCTTGGCTGTTCCTGTCCCTGGTTCCCAAATGGGGAAATAACAAAGCAACCTGGAAGCTATGATGTTGGCTGTTGTTCAAATGCCTCTTTTTTGGCTCTTACATAAAAAGATTGTGTTTATTTTGTTTGTAGCAAAAGATGCCACAGAAATGCACCCAAATACACCCTCCTCCCTGTCCCCTTAGACACCCCATCAGTGAAAGGATGGAGGCAGCACACTGATCTTGCAGTAGAGCCTGGATAAATTCAGTGCCTTGCATGGTGACATGTTTCAGAGGGGTTGCCGTGTTAGTCTCTATCAGCAAAAACAACGAGGAGTACTTGTGGCACCTTAGAGACTACCAAATTTATTTGGGCATAAGCTTTCGTGGGCTATAACCCACTTCATCAGATGCATGGATTGAAAAATACAGTAGGCTGGTATAAATATCCGGCACGTGAAAAGATGGGAGTTGCCTTACCAAGTGAGGGGTCAGTGCTAATGAGGCCAATTCAATCAGAGTGGGTGTGGCCCATTCCCAACAGTTGACAAGAAGGGGTGAATATCAAGAGAGCCACTCCCAGTCTTTATTCAGGCCTAAATATAACACAGTTCTGTACTTTAAAATATATATAATCCTTTCATTTTCTCTCAGAGCTTATTTCTCAATCTCTTTAGTGTTGCCATAATAGGTATGTATGTATATCATCCGGATTTTTCAGAGCTTGAGAAGAATGGCAGCATCTCAGTTCTTTGCCAAACATTTCTGAGCCTTGGCAGCTAACAAAAGTCTGGGCATTTTTACAGCTTGCAGGATTCCAGTCCTTTGGGTAATAGTTGACTGGTCTCTTTCGTTCCTGGTTAGACAGGAAATCTGTATCCTGTATCCAAATCTGTATCCTGTATCGGGACTGAGCCTTCACAGCAGACACATCTCTTGATCTTGCATCAATCAACTTCTGAGTCCAAAGAGCTGTCTTTCATTCCTGTAAATTGCAGCCTTTCCCTGAGAGCTCTGATTGGCCACTCTCAGATGGTGAGTATGTGTAGAAACTGCAAGACTGCTTGCCCTCAGTGAAAACCTCTTTGCTTCAGAAAGAATTAGTGACCATGTCTAGTAACTGCCACATTCTGCTTCTGGATGTTTCTAAGTCGTTCTAGCTCACTGCACAGTATATTCAAACTAAAATCCACGTCTCCTCACTGCTTCCCTCCAATTCTTTGGATTTAAAATAGGGCTGTCAAGCAATTAAAAAAATTATTTGCTTTTAATCATGTGATTAAAAATTGAATTGCTATTAATCGTGCGATTAATTGCACTGTTAAACAATAATAGAATACCATTTATTTAAATATTTTTGGATGTTTTCTACATTTTAAAATATATTTATTTCAATTATAACCCAGACTATAAAGTGTACAATGCTCACTTTGTATTTATTTTTATTACAAATATTTGCTCTGTAAAAAACAAAAGAAATTGCATTTTTCGATTCACCTAATACAGGTACTGTAGTGCAATCTCTTTATCATGAAAGTTGAACTTACAAATGTAGAATTATGTACAAAAAATAACTGCATTTAAAAATAAAACAATGTAAAACTGTAGAGCCTACAAGTCCATTCAGTCCTATTTCTTCTTCAGCCAATCACTCAGACAAACAAGTTTGTTTACATTTGCAGGAGATAATGCTGCCCACTTCTTGTTCACAATGTCACCTGAAAGTGAGAATAGGTGTTCTCATGTCACTGTTGTAGCCGGTGTCACAAGATATTTACATGCCAGGTGCACTAAAGATTCATATGTCCCTTCATGCTTCAGTCACCATTCCAGAGGACATGCGTCCATGCTGATGACAGGTTCTGCTTGATAACAATCCAAAGCAGTGTGGACCGACACATGTTCATTTTCATCATCTGCGTCAGATGCCACTAGGAGAACGTTGATTTTCTTTTTTTGGTGGTTCTGGTTCTGTAGTTTCTGCATCGGAGTGTTGCTCTTTTAAGACTTCTGAAAGCACATGCTCCACACCTCGTCCCTTTAAGATTTTGGAAGACACTTCAGATTCTTTAAATTTGGGTCACATGCTGTAGCTATCTTAAGAAATCTCACATTGGTACCTTCTTTGTGTTTTTTCAAATCTGCAGCAAAAGTGTTCTTAAAATGAACAACATGTTCTGACAGAGACGGATTTACTGTGAAACAAATCATAGAATCATAGAATATCAGGGTTGGAAGGGACCCCAGAAGGTCATCTAGTCCAACCCCCTGCTCGAAGCAGGACCAATTCCCAGTTAAATCATCCCAGCCAGGGCTTTGTCAAGCCTGACCTTAAAAACCTCTAAGGAAGGAGATTCTACCACCTCCCTAGGTAACGCATTCCAGTGTTTCACCACCCTCCTAGTGAAAAAGTTTTTCCTAATATCCAATCTAAACCTCCCCCACTGCAACTTGAGACCATTACTCCTCGTTCTGTCATCTGCTATGATGGGGGGGGGTCCCAAAATGCAGGACAAATTTCATCTGACAACATGCCCCTGAGTCCCGGCAGGTGGCGCAGCAGGGCTTAGGCAGGCAGTGCTGCCTGCATTCCGTGGCTGGTGGCCCCACGCCGCTCCCAGAAGTGGCTGGCTGCTGGCATGTCTCTGTGTGCCAGTGGCAGGGGGAGGTGGCTCCACGTGCTGCCCCCACCAGGCAGCACACAGAGACCTGCTGTCCCTCTTCCCCCAAGGGGCACTCCCTGTAAGGCAGCTCCCTTTCCTCTGCCTCTGTCCTGCCTTTGTCTGCCTCTGTCCCTCTGCCTCTGTCCCTCTGCCTCAGTGCTTCCTCTGTCCCTCCACGCTGCGCCACTCCCAGAAGCGGCCGGCATGTCCATGCGGCCCCTGGGGGAGGGGGTCTTTGCACGTTGCCCTTGCCCCAAGCACCGACTCCACAGCTCCCATTGGCCAGGAACTGTGGCCAATGGGAGTTGTGAGGGTGGCGCCTGTGGGCAGCAGCATGCAGCGATCCCGTGCCCCCCCCCACCTAGGAGCTACTTCAAGAGGAGTGTGTGCTGGTCGCTTTGGGAGCCGCACCACCTGAGGTAAGCGTGGCCCCTCAACCGCTGCTGCACCCCAGGCCCATGCCCCAGCCCAGAGCCTGCACCCTGCACCCAAACTTCCTCCCAGAGCCCACACCCCTCACTCCCTTCCACACTCCTGCCCCAGCCCAGAGCCCACACCCTGCACCCACTCCTGTACCCCAACCCCCTGCCCCAATCAAGGTACTTCACTTTATTTTCATTTACTTCCCATTACTTATAATATAGGAGGAGGCTGAAGAAAGAGAATGAAAAATGGGGGACATAAGAGAGAATGTTCTTTTTCTTGGCTGGGTCCCAAGGGTGGGGGGGAGCAAAAATGAAGCTGAGCACAGGGCTCCACTGACTCTACATCCACCACTCTGTTCTGACTCATCATCTGAGAATACTATAACATGAAATATATGGTAGAATGTGAGTAAAACAGAGCAGGAGACATACAATTTTCCCCCAGGAGTTCTGTCAGAAATTTAATTAACATATTATTTTTGACAAGAGTCATCAGCATGGAAGCGTGTTCTCTGGAACAATGGCTGAAGCATGAAGAGGCATATGAATCGTTAGCACATCTGGCATATAAATATCTTGCGATGCCAGCTACAACAATGCCATGCAACACCTGTTCTCAATTTCTGGTGACATTGTAAATAAGAAGTGGGCAGAATTATCTCCCGTAAATGTAAACAAACATGTTTGTCTCAGTGATTGGATGAATGAGGAGTAGGACTGAGTGGACTTGTAGGCTCTAAAGTTTTGCATTGTTTTGTTTTTGAGTGCAGTTATGTCACAAAAAAACCCCTATATTTGTAAGTTGTACTTTCATGATAAAGAGAGTGCACTACAGTACTTTGTCTGAAGTGAATTGAAAAATACTGTTTCTTTTATCACTTTTACAGTGCAAATATTTGTAATAAAAATAATAATGTAAAGTGAGCACTGTACACTTTGTATTCTGTGTTGTAATTCAAATCAATATATTTGAAAATATAGAAAAACATCCAAAAATATTTAATAAATTTCAGTTGGTATTCTGTTGTTACAATGTGATTAAAACTGCAATTAATCGTGATTCATTTTTTGAGTTAATTGCGTGAGTTAACTGTGATTAATCGACAGCCCTAATTGAAAAATCAAATGCTGCTGTATAAGTCATGCAAGTTACACTTGGTTGGGTTTTTTGTTTGTTTGTTTGTTTGTTTTTAACTGTGGTGAAGGATGCTTTAATGAGAACGTAGTGTTTACAGATTTATAGGAAACCCAGTTATGTAAAGTTCAGTATTTCAAGATTTGGAGTATTGCTCTTGGCTCCCAAAATGTGTCGAAGTCACAATGCCAGTACTACAGATAATGAAAGGGTTTGACTGAGGTGTTGTCTACGCTGGGTTTTAGCCACTGGTTTGGCTGCACCACTGCAAACCTCTTGTTCAAACATGCTATACACCTGTGCAGTGTGGTTTAAATCTAGGTGTGACATTACCAAGCATACTGTCTGGACTAATGAACAGCTTTGTCTCCTCAGTTCTTGAATTTGGGGTACTGTTTACACTGCTTCGCTGTGAGAGTTCACTGGAGGCTGTGTGAGAGGAGACCTTCCTGGTCTCCTCTCACACAGCCTCCAGCATGCAAGTTACTCCACATTTAGTATATGAGTGCTGTACCCAGACACTCTTGCATTAGACTGCAGAGCAACACCAGCAAATTTACAGTCCCAGATTTTCTCCAGAAATGTATGTCTTGTACTTTCCCCTTCTCTCTTGGACAATACAAGCTCATATAAATCCATCATTTTAGCAATAGAAAATGATATGAACAAATCCAGTTATCCCAAATGGAGTTTCCCAAACACTTCAATCCAAGCATACTGGTTTAGATAAAACAAGTTTATTAACTACAAAGGATAGATTTTAAGTGATTTCAAGTAATGAGGCATAAGTCAGAATTGGTTACAAGAAAATAAAAGTAAAACACAATTAATGCCTAACTTAACAAACTAAGTGAATTCAAAGCAAAGGTCTCTCTCACCGCATGTTCCAGCAGTCTTATTGACTGAATTCCTTTCTGTCAGGATCCTTCTCACAATCCAGTGCTGTTTCCTTTATTCTTCAATTCTTGTTGATGCCATGAGTAGAGAGAAAGGGAGGAATCATTTGGGGTATCTGCTCCCCTTTTTTATAGACCTTTCTCTTCTTTGAGAATCCTTGCCGGCTGAGGTTCAGGAGATGGAAAGTCTGTGTGGATAGGATCTCTCAGCTATTTCTTTGTCACAATGTAGATTTTCACTGACATCCTCTTTCCTGCCAAAGAATGGACACTTAACCAGGCAATAGTCCATTTGATTTTGTTGACACCTGGCTGAGGCATTGGCTAACCTTTTGTCTCTGGGGAACTGGTTTGTGGCTGCTCCCCCCAGACTTGGAACATGTCTAGTAATATCATACAGAGGCATTCTATAACTTTACATGCAATTCTTCCGCATATATTTTGTCAGGACAATAATGATCAGCAAATTATGAGTTTTCATATGGATACCTCACAAGGCATACTTTGTACAAAATTTATCCTAGTCTTGTAAAAGAGGTGAACATAGGGGTACAGACTGTCACACTTGGGTAATAAGCACTGGTACAAATCATGTTCCACTGGTGTAAATCATGTCTGTGTTGTGGTTTTGCACCAATGCAATTGTAGGGGTTTGCACTAAAACTAAAAGAACACAGTGTAGATAAGGCTTAAGTAATTTATTTAGTTCACATAGAGTTACTGTGTGTGATGTGTGGTACTTTTTGAAAGAGGCCCAGACGAGCTGAAACACTGAGCTTTGTTCTCTTTGTGGCTACTTTATCAATAAATAAATGCTTTAAACCAGTGTTTCATAAAGTTATGGATGACTGGTGCAGGGTGGGCATTTGGGAGAAGACAGGAGAAGAGTGGTGTTGGACTCTGGATCCAC